AAACCTCTAGTTGTCTCTTAACCTGGCGTTTGGCTAAAAACATGAACTGGGACCTTGAACTTGGGGCCACCTTTGGTTCAAGGGCAGTTGGGCGGCCTGGAGCACGTGTGGAATTCTCCTCTGAGGTGGAGGCTCTGGGAGCCACTGAGGGTGGGTTCGAGCAGGGGTCTGGGGAAGGAGTCCGAGGCAGTCCTGCTGGGGTTTTTGGGAGGTGTCCCTCCGTGGGCTCTTCGCACACAGTGGCCCCTGTGCCGGGGCAGAGCAGGGCTCCTCAGGGACCACCCCTTCCCAGGAAGGCTGGCCCTGGTGCCTAGGTGGCCCCTGCTCGATGCCCCACCACCTCCCTTCGGGGCCGCGAGGCCGAGCTCCCGACACCAGCCCTGCCCGGGGCCACCTGACGCCCACGCCCCCCACGCGGCCTCTCCCCAGCTGGTGCGGTACAGCGCCGAAGGCCTCCTGCAGCTGGGCCCCCTGGGCTCCACCGCCTTCCTGCCGGACTCCAAGTGCCTGGTGGATGACGGCAGGGGCCGCACGCCCGCCCTGAAGAAGTGTGAGGACGTGGCCCGGCCGGCGCAGCGGCTGTGGGACTTCACCCAGGTCAGCCCGGGGGGGGCAGTGAGGACAGCAGGGGCCAAGCTCCAGTGCTCGGGGTGGGGGGCTGGGTCAGGTGATCTCCGTCTCACAGCCATTAGGTGATCGGCCCACAGTCGCAGCCGGGGGAGGGCTGCACTGGGCTGGTCACGGCACGGTGGCCGCCTCCTCCAGTCTCTCTGTCCCCGACCCTGCGGCCTCCTCCGGCCCCCTGGGGAGGGCATTCAGGCAGAGGGTTGAGGTATGACCACCCCGGAAGACCCCACCCCAGCTGCCGGCCAAGTGGGACCAGACTTCCCTTCCCGGGAAGCCTCTGAAATCCCTCATGTGCCCTGCGGGGGGCTGCTGGGCTCAAATCCTGAGCCCCGAGAACAGGTATTCGGGATGAGAGTTCGAAGGGGCCCCCCCCTGCCCCCCACGGCCCCTTCCCGCTCACACAGGCCTCCCTCCGCTCTCAGTCTTGCTGGGCGTGGACAGCACGGGCGCCTGCTCTGGGAATCACCAGATCGCGAGCCCCTCCCTCGGCGCCGGCCTCCTTCCCCCATGTTTTGTTAGGGACCATTTCACCTGCATTTCCTCCCACTCCTCTGTTTCCAGGGCTGGCCTTCCTCACACCCCTGCCCTCTGGCCATGACCCCTACGGTCCCCCCTTAGGTCCCCCTCCACCCCCGCTGAGTGGGCTCCCCGACTCGCCCCTCCCTCCCCCATGACATACTCATCTCCACATCCAGCCTTCGCACCCACCCAGCCACATCCTGCACACGCTTCCCCAGGGTCTCAGCACGTCTCCGTGGAATCAGCCTCGCATTTCCACCCCATCAGGCTGAGGGGACGCCCTCGAGCCCACCCACCTCCCTCCAGCCCGGCCTGAGACCCTCACACCGGGGACAGCAGTCCGACTGTGCTGCCTAAAGCCACTCACGTCCCATATCCCCTCGTTCACTTACGGGGCGGGGCACTGCCCAAGAGATGACTGCCAGCCAGGGGCTCAAAGCCGCACCCTTCCTTCTCCAAACGCCCCCTCTTCATGAGGACACCCGCACTGGAGCAGGGCCACCCGTCTCCAGCACGACTTCATCTTCACTGATGACATCTGCAAAGACCCTGCTTCCAAATATGGTCACATTGCCAGGTCCTTTGGGTTAGGACTTGGATGTATCTGCCTGATCTTCCTAGAACACTCTCTGCCCAAGGTAGAGCAGGGTCACTGAGGACAGGGGTGGGTGACAGAGGGTCACCGAGGACA